GAGCCATCACCTGCAAAGACTACACATGCAAAGGATTGTTTTTGGTAGTCACGGTAACCAAGGGACAGTCCAGCATTCCATGCCCAAGGTCAGGAATAACCAACATCCTATAATACGCAACACAGTCCAGACCCTCAAATACCAACAGCCTGAAATCCAAGCAGGGCTCTGTTAAGGAGGAGTGTTAAATTAGCACTGATGAGGGCTAGGTTAACATCACCCCACCAGCACCCTGCCATGAAGGAGAACTAAGTTCAGTACTACATACTCAGTAAGGAGCATCACTTTAAACACTACCCTAACTTCCTCCCACTAGGGACGACTAGGTTAGACACTGCCTGACACTGTTCCCACTGACTGTGGGAGGGAGACATTTCCGATGAGGAAAGCATGTCAGATCCTCAACACCCAGTAGAAGCCAACTCTCCAAGACAGGCTGTTTCTGAGCACTTGACGCCTACTCTGAAGACCCCTAAGTCCCCGTGGCAAAGTCTGCTGTTGATAACAGCAGTATCCTGGCCCCCACCCACTCTGTCTACTAGGAAACTTCAGCCTCAGCTCTGTGATCACAGCCCAAAGTCCCAGGTCCCTGGACCCCAGACAGGCAACATCCCAGCTGCCAAGTTCACACATCTGGAACATGAATTTTTAAAAATGTGGATTATTGAAGTGTCCAGCTCTCCTGTCACCTAGCCTTAAATCCTACCTGTAAACTCTTAGACCCAGTTGCAGAAGCTTCTAGACTAATCGTCTCTGAGCATGGGATCCCTGACCTCACTCTGCTTTGACAACACCCAGCTGTGACCCCAGCTATGATCTGAAGTGTCAGCTGAGGACTGAGTCCCCACCCAACTGTGACCCAGCCATGATCTGAGTCCCCACCCCAGCACAGGAACTACAGCTGCTATAACTGACAGCAGCAGACGGTCAGGGCTGAGGAGGGAGAAAGGGGAGGATGGATTGCAGAGGAAAAAGGATAGAGAAGAGGAAGGAGGGTGGAGGAGGTGGAGGGAAGACAGAGGAAGTGGATGCTAGAGGAGGCGGGAGATGGAAGGTGGAAGGACAGAAGATGGAGGAGGAGAAGGAAAGAGGGAAACAGAAGGTGGAAGAAGGATGGAGGTGAGGAAAGGGAAGGGAATTGAAGAGGAAGCAAGGTGGAGGGAAAGAGAGGAGCATGGAGAAAGGGTGAAGAAGGGTTAAGATGAAGGAGGGCAGAGAAGAGGGTTGAGGATGGAGGGCAGAGAAAGAGGGAGGAGCAGGGAGAAAAAACAGGCTAGAGGGTGAGAAGCAGAGGGATGGAGCCTAGGGTGGGGGAAGGAATACAGGAAAGGAGAATGGGGGTGGAGGAGAAAGATGGAGAGTGGAGGAAAGACAAAGAATGGACGGGAGGGATGAACGGTGAGGAGGATGGAGGGAGGAGTGGGATGCGGGTGGGAGGAGGAACGATCAGTGAAGACAGCAGAGGGAAGTGCAGCTAAACTGTGTCCTACCCTGTAGCTTCAACCTCTCTGTTTTAACTTAATTTTTATTATGTGGATGTGTGTGTACCACACATGTTCAGAGGCCTGCAGAGGCCAGAAGGAGGAGTCAGATTCCTTGGGGCTTGTCTTAGGCAGGGTTTCTATCACTGTGATTAAACTCCACAACCACAAGAAACTTGGGGAAGAAAGGGTTGATCTGACTCTTAGGCCACACTGCATCGCTGAGGGAAGTAAAGATAGAAAGTCAAAAAGGAACCAGGAGACAGGAACTGGAGCAGAGGCCGTGGAGGGGTGCTGCTTACTGGCTTGCTCCCCACAGCTGCTCAGCCTGCTTTCTTACACAACCCAGGACCACCTGCCAAGGATGACATCACCCCCTATGGGCTGGGCTCACTCACATCAACCGTTAATCAAGAAAATGCCAGCCAGGCGTAGTAGCTCATACCTTTAATCCCAGGTTAGTAGACAAAGGTGGATCTCTGAGTTCAAGGCCAGCCTGCTCTACAGAGTGAGTTTCAGGATAGGCAGAGCTACACAGAGAAACCAAGTCTCAAAACAAAAGAAAAAAGGAAGGAAGGAAAGAAGAGGAAGAAAAAAGGAAAAAGTCCCCACAGGCTTGTGTACAGGCAATCTGGATGAAGGTATTTTCTCAGTTAAGTCCCCTCCTTCCTAAATGCTAGCTTGTGTAAAGTTGACAAAAATCTAGCCAGGAAGAGCTGGAAGTGGTTGCTAGCTGTCATGGGTCATCTGAAGAGAGAACATACTGTTAACTGCTGAGCCATCTCTCCGGCTACCTCCACCCAGCTCCACCACAGGCCCCTTCCCTCCTCCTGAGCCAGCCCCGTTGTGTCCTGCTCAAACTGGACTCGCTGAGTGGAGAAGACAGGGAGGTGAAGTCATTGGGCACAATGCCTGGAGGGCCTATTTACCCAACAGGTCACCAATGTAGCTGCCCAGTCGAGTTAGGTGACAGCCTGAGTTCCAGTAGGTACTGTCCCACTGGGTAAGCATGGCCTGGCTCCCAAGGCTGGGAGGAGACTTCTCACCAGCCCCTCCTCTCCAGATGGAGGCCCTGGGGTCAGAGAAAAGGGCTGACACAAAGTCACACATTCTCAGCACACAGGACACTCACTGGCCACCTCCTAAGTGTCACTTAGGACAGCATTGCCATGTCAGCCTAGTCAGCCCTACCACAGCCTATCAGAATCAGATTCCAAGCCGAGATGTTCCACAGGCCAGAGCTATGGTGACCAGCCTGCCAACAGAAGCCCAGAGAGGTCCAGTGACTTACTCAATGTTATACAGCATCCTGTCACCTGCCAAGATAGCCCTCTGACCTTGTCCCACTGTCTCCCTGGTCCTCTAGCCTTCTCTTCCTGGACAGCTCAAATACCAGCCAGGCATGATGGTGTATACCTTTGATCCTAGTACTCAGGGCCAGCCTGATCTATATAATGAGTTCAAGGACAGCCAGGGCTCCATAGAGACCTTGTCTTTAAAAGAAAGAAAGGAGAGGCTAGAGGGATGGCTCAGCGATTAGGGGCACTGCTCTTCCAGAGGTCCTGAGTTCAATTCCCAGCAACCACATGGTAGCTCACAACCATCTGTAATGGGATCTGGTGCCTTCTTGTGGTATGTCTGAAGACAGTTACAGTATACTTACATACATAAAATAAATAAATAAATAAATTCTTTTTTAGGAAGTAAGGGAGGGAAGGAGGGAGGTTGGGAGGGAGGA